TCTTCAAAAACAGACTAGACGAAGCTATGCAGGAGCATATGTTCAGTCTTAAAATGCCTAGCAAATTACGGACCAGGCAATAAGTCCAGCAGCTATCTCAATCAATCGTCAGTTATGGAAAGATCGGGTTCCAAAGGCCGGATCCCTTGTGAATCAAGTCACGACAAGTTCAAGAATCGGCAACAGGCCTTGGGCCTATTACTTCAGCGCCGACACTTCTATTCTATTATTTTGCATCGGGCACTGCAAGACGGGCAGGAAGAGACTTCACTGCCGAAAGGCGAAGCAGTTTACTCAGTTCCAAAATTTTATACGTCATTTGCTAAATACGTCACCAAGAATAGTTCTAAGTTCTTTGATACGTCACCAAGAATAGTTCTAAGTTGAAGAGTATCTCTACAGATAAGGCTGTTAGATTTGTGGTTATTTTTTAAGGAGTTTATTATAAACTAAAGGCTTTTTCCGGTGGACCCGGCGCGCTCAGAGTTAAATTAGTTATTATTCTTCCAGGTAACTTGGCATTTGTTGAATGAAGCTTGGATTACCCAAGCTTTTTTGCTCCCTGATTCATCCAACACTCATCATTTATTCATAACTGTTCTGTCTGGCAAAACTCATTTAGCGGTCAGAGTATCAAACTAAAAACTCGGCTCAAAAAAATACTAACAATGTAAACGTGAAATGGAAATAGGTTGTGAAATAATTTTTGTATATTTCTCAAAGTTCGATAGTTCATATTTCCAATGAACAATGGAAGTACAAGATTGGAAATTTCCTACTTTAGCGATTTATATTTTCATTGAACATCTACGAGATAGCCATGATTTCTCGGGTTATAAATGAACACGCTGAACGCGAAATAACGCTTCAACTCGAAAAGGAAGTTTTGCACCAACATTTCTCAAATTTTACTCACATGATGTTATTGTACAGCTAAATGGTACAAACATTGCAAAATATCTACAAATTCTTTTTAGAGCCAGACAGTTACAGAAACAAAGATAATCACGCTCCAAATTCCAGCATCAAACTCTGCAATTTTTTTTTCAAGCTTTGTGCACAGATTTTTATTAACGACGCAGAGTGGTTGAGTCTAGCTAAAACTTTCTCTTGTAATATTGTTACGCAGTCCTGTCATCCGTGAGCCAATCCAACGTAACATCTCGATACGTTGCTAGGCAGGGTGGCCCAGCGGTTACAGTGTAGGGTTTTATGGTAATCCTCATCTAGAAATGATCAAAAGTTAAGCGCTAAGCAGGATAGAAATAAGTGATCATCAATTAAGGCATTTTAATAAGAATTTATTCAAAGCTTCGTATTCGGGGCAGTTTCTTCATATTCAAGGCAGTTTGAAATCCATTTAGAAAGCTGCGTCCAGGTTTAACTTAATTTTGGCAGAAAGGCAGAAGTTGAAGATTACTGGAGATACTGGTAAAAACAAACGCATCATCACAATAGAGTCAATAAGCAAGTAATAATTCAGATATTTCAGTGGTTCAGTATTTACGTTAATTAAGGAATAAGGCTCACCTTAATCAATTAAGATTAAGTGCACATATTACGTAGTGCTTTTAGATGTAGAAATTAATATTGTAATGATTATCGTTTCATTTAACGCGCGGCAGTTCCGAATATAAATAGAGGTCACTTTAGTATAGAGAATGACCACCTTGGCCAGTCATGTTAATAATTTTAAGGTTTAAAGGTTAACAGTTAAAGTTTAACAGTTTTAAAGTTTCAAGTCAAATAGGCAATTTGACGAGCCGGCCAAAGTGTCAAAAAAAAAGAAGTGAAAAACGCATGCACCCCAAAACTGAAAAGTATAACTAAGCAAGAGTTGTGCACAACAAATAAACATCTCATATTTAATGATTTAAGGAAACTAAGGTAACCTGGTGAGTAGAGGAACTGGACACGACCGCGCTGGCAGAGTTTTCTCAACAATAAAGCTACTTCGGGAGCAGCGGCTCAGCCTTATATGGACTAAGCACGTTCTGCATCTTCGTGGCAACCTTTCCAGAAGACCGGATCGGAAATTTTCCGAACAGTTCAGACTACCAGGATTGGAGCAATGTGTTCCGGGTTAGATCCCTCCTTCCTGCGACAGTTTAGTTCCGGATTACATCCCTGCTTCCTGTGACAGTTTAGTTCCGGGTTACATTCCTGCTTCCGGCGACAGTTTAGTTCCGTGTTACATCCCTGCTTCCTGCGACAGTTTAGTTCCGGGTTACATCCCTGTTTCCTGCGACAGTTTAGTTCCGGGTTACATCCCCGTTTCCTGCGATAGTTTAGTTCCGGGTTACATCCCTGCTTCCTGCGAAAGTTTTGGTCAAAATCGGCAAGATGGCCGGGCGGTTAAGAATCGGCTACAGCCCAATTAGGCCTTATCAAAACTACTCTGCTATATTAAATGGAATTCCCTCGTTCGCTACTCGTGCACGTAAGATACAAAGGCTTACAACAAGTAGTTGTAGAATGGTTTGCTAGCGCTTCACCACTAGCTATTTCGCACCGGGGGTAAAAAAGATAACATCGCCAGCAGGTCGGCAGGTCTCAATTATTCAAGTCTGAAATTAATCACCACCAACAAGGGTCAGGAGGTTTCAGATGTCCAGCCCGCTTAAGCTGGCTCGAAAGTAGCATCGTTAGCATCTCAATGAGATGAAGTGACAAGGAGGGACAAGAAGGGACAGGTGAAAAGCAACAGAAAGTCAGAAACTAAGACACTCGAACAAGAGGTCGCTTACACGGGACGTCGGCCGCCCGCGCGAGAGAGAGAGAGAAGGGAAATGTTAGGAATCCTACCTACATAATAACTTAATGTAAGGAATCCTACCTATATAATAACTTAATGTAAGGAATCCTACCTACATAATAACTTAATGTAAGGAATCCTACCTACATAATAACTTAATGTAAGGAATCCTACCTACATAATAACTTGACCCCAGAACTGAGATCCGCGGTCAGGCATCGCGAGCTCAGCGGTGGGGCGCTCAGGAACAATCCCACTAGGA